TTTATTGTTAATGCAAAAAAATTATAAGTTTTATATTGAGTAAAAAAGTGTGCAGATACTTTTGTCCACCCTCTGTATTAATAATGATCAATAGTGCAAGATTTACAACGCCAATTAAAAGTTTTAAGTAAACAAAATAAAAATTTGCTTAAACAACTTAAATAAAATCAAAATATTTCATTAGAAAATCTAATCAAAATGTACATAATTTCAATATAATTTTAAAAAATTTTGCCTAAAATGAAAACTAATCATAAATATTATAGTTATCAAGAAAATCTTTAGTTACATCTATCGCATCAGCATTTTCTAATACATCTGTATTTAATGCTGTTGCAAAATCTTCAAGTCAGAAAATTAATACCAGATTCTATTTTGTCAAATATGACAGTAGCTAGCAATGGTATTTCAAAATCTCATAGAAGTATAGCTAAAAATATTTGTAGAGAATTAAAATTACAAAAAGTTGTTTATTAAGGTTATTGTGTAAGTTAAATTCAATTTTATAACAAAGTATAATAATTAAAAATTAATATTTAATATTGATTCTGTATTTAGAGTGATTTACGTAATTTAATTAAAACTAGAGTATTAGATTTAAATAAAAAATGGTAAGACCAAGATATAAGAAAAATTTTAAATCTTATTAAAATGGTAAAATACAGATTTTTTAATTTATTAATATATTATACTATTAGTTCAAACAAAAAAATCCCTCTTTTCCTAATTGTATCAATAATTAGGCTATAAAAGAATTAACACAAAGCATTATTAATAATAAGCGTAAGTATTGTTATTATAATTAATTAAAACTATTTTATTTTAACTTTCTTTTTTACTTTTTTTAATTTAGATAAATATTCACAAGATAAGAAAAAAATAATACAGCAAATAAAAATCAAGAGCAAAATGGAGAATTACGAAATGAAAATGAAGATCAAGTGCAAAACAGTAAATCACAAGATGAAGATGAAGATCAAATGCAAAATAATAAATTACAAAATGAAAATCAAAATCAAATGCAAGATAGTGAAATAGAAATAACAAGAAACAAAAATAAAAATCAAGAACAAAATGATGAAATAGAGATGGTATTAAATAAAGATCAAGAAAATAATAAAATGTTGTCTAATACAAAAAAAAGATCTTAATATAACAAGGTAATAATAATAATATATTAATTAATTGAAAGAATATTGTATTAATAATAAGTTACTTTATATTTAATAATAATTTACCTGTTTAGAAGAAAAAATCACTAGTTACTGCAAATACTAATCAAAAGTCAAATTTATATTTTAATGATAATGATTATGAATTATCATTACAACAAGTTAGTATAAATTTTTCATTAAACTGTTATTTATAATATAAAATTTGAATATTAAACTTGAATTTTTTTATATAGGATCTCAATGTTTTTGAATATGAAGTAGTAGCATCTGATAAAAAAGGTAAAAAATGGCATAGTTAAAAATAGAAATAATAAGCAGAAAAGAGTATACAAATTAAATAATAATAAAAAGCAAAAAAATAAAGAAATCAAAGGTAATAATAAACGAAAATCTCACAGATTAGCAGTAAAAGAGTTAGTAAGTATGTATAATATCATTATTTATTAATTTTTTTTTTAAAAAAAATTCTAACATTTTTAATTAATTAATTTTAAAGAATATAAGAATTAATTAGATTATAATGTAAAATTAAGGCATGAAGTATTATTTTTGTTGATTTTAATGTAAAAAAAAAATTTTTGATTTGTTAATTTTGATATCGATCAGCATTCAGTAAAATGAATAATTGATTTTTAGTTTTGATAAATTAATATTTTAACTTTTAAAAAATTACATAAAATGATATAATTTATATATAGTATTAATTACTTTAATTTATTATTTAATTATTAATTATTTCTCAACCAGTTCTTAAAATCTTTAAATTTTTGTGTAATTATAAGCTGGCTAAGTTATTTTTAGAAAATATGATTTTGTGAGATCACATGATTTGTTTATACCATTATATTATATAATCTTTATTTATTTGTATTTAAGCGATATTTATTTTTTGTTTTTGTTATTTTTTTTTATTTTTTATTTTTTATTTTTTTTTAAAAAATTATTTTTGTTTTTTTTAATAAGTTAATAATAATAATTATCTATTCTCTTTACTAAACTTTTTTAGATTTATTCAAATATGTAGTTATAAATAATAATATTGAAGATTTTATAATAATTTTTTAGACGCGTTGTTATTTATTTAAATATATAGTAATTACAATTCTTTTTTATTTCAAAAATAACAATATGAAATGTTTTAATGGTAAGGAATATTTTTGTATTTGTTATTTTGTTTAAATATAATATTTTTAAATTAGAAAACGCTAATGTTAAATATCTTTTTATTATGAAGACCTTTTAGATATATTTTTTGCACATTTCAGTTATTATTTATTTTATGTATATTATTATTAATTTAGTATTATAACTTTTTTAGGCTTCAATTAGAATTTCTTGGCATAAATAGTTCTCCCAAAGATTATAAAGTTAGTAGCAATATTTCCTTCAGATTCATATGAAATTTCAGAAGCAGCAATATTGAAATTTTTTATAGTGAGAAACTATTTCTCAGATATATCATTTGTTATGTATATTATTGTTTAATTATATTGCTATTAAATTATTATTTATAATTTTTTTATTTTAAGAATAATAATATTTAAGATTTTGGTGATGCGAATCTTTTAAATATGTTTGTTTACAAATTTACTATTTGTTTGATTATATTATTATTAAATTAATGTACTTATTTTTATTTTAGGGATAGTAATATTTAATGATTTTGATATTCCTTTTATCTTCTTGGGTACACATTCTGAAAGAAGAGGTACTATTCAAATAATTTGATTTAGATCCTTAGATGTGCCTGAAGTATAGTTTTGCATAAGATTATTTATATGAATTGTTGTGTGTAGCAGATAATGAGTAATGCTAGATCTAGATTATTCTCTAATAAGTTCAAAGTATACTGCCTGCACAATGCGATTCAGTATTATTTGTTAATAGTATAATGGTAACAAATTTGTAATTTATTCAATTATATCATTATTAAATTAGTTTTAGGTAGCATTATATTTTATATTATGTATTAAATTATATAATTTAGCATATTAATATTAAATTTTAGCTGTAATAAAAAATCTAATTTTGACCTACATTAAAAATTAATTTTGGCTTGTATTTTTATTATAATTTGGCCTATTATTCTAAATCATGAATAGTGAAAATGTCCAGAAAATGTTCAAAAATAGATTATATTCAGAAAATAGAAATATTGTCTGAAAATTATTCAGAAAATATAAATTATGTCTAAAAATATCTGAAAAATATCCAGTTTTGCATTCTAAAGAAATCGATCGTTAAAATTCCAAACAATGACAAATTCTGGACAAAATGAATGTCTGGAATCCACCAAGATTTGGAATATATTCCAGACAATAAAAATGTTCAGAATTTGTACATTATTATTTCAATACATTTACCTGTTAAATTCCAGACATTCTTTTTTATAGGGAATATATTTTTGATCTACCTTTATTTAAATTTTGTAATCTATTACTATTTTTTATCTCTATTATTGAGCAATTATTTTATATATAATCTGAATTACTTTTCTGTCATATTACTTGCTGAACTTGAATCACTAGTTAGTTTTTGATATAATACATAAATTTAATAATTTTTGTTTGGTATACCCAATATTAAGTTAGCCTTATTTTTGAACTGTATACATATGAGCTGAGTATTATAAATTGGCATTTCATCTTTTAATTAGTTAGAAATTATATAAGATTTAATTGTTACTTCTTTATCTTTTAAATTTTCATCTATTCACCATTATTTCCAAATGAATAATGAAAAATATTAAATTTATAATAAATACGTTCAGGTTAAATTTATATTTTTTCTAAATAAATTTTAAAAAATATAGTATAATTTATGATATATTTTAAATCAAAAATAGTTTTATTTTATTTACCTTAGTTCAAAAATGCAAATGAATCGATATTTAAAGTTTTTCAATACAGTAAGGTAGATAGTTTATTATTTAAATTATTGTAAATATTTTTAGAATTAGAAAAAATTTAATTCTATTATAAACTTTTACACTAATATAATTATTAATTGATCTAACAGGAATTTCTAGTTGATAATTTTTATTTATTTCAATATTTTGTGCATTTAAATATGTAGCATAATCATTTAAACATTTAGAAAACTTTTTACTATAGGATAAATCTAAGAAAATTGTAAACTATTTATCTATGACATATTTAAATACCCAAAAAGTAAATTTGATTATTGATATAAATAATAATAATCAAATTTTAGTTTTGCATATTTGTAGCTTGATAGATCTGATCTATTAAAAAATTCTTTAAGCTTTTTAGGAAAATTTATTGCTTTTCCTTTTATTTTTTTAATACTATTATATTTATATACTATATAGTATTTACTAAATTATTAATAAAAAATTTTCCTATTGACTCTGCAATAGGCTTTTTCTTCTAACCTTTGCTATGATTTTTAATCTAAATTACTATATCATTATGTAACAAATCCTTTTTTTTAGTAATTTATAAGAAGGTAAAAATAGTAAATTAAATGCATTTTTTCTTTTATTATTAGTGTTGAGAGTTGAAATTCAAATAAAATAAAATTTCTAATACTTTCTAAAATTTCATTAAGTTTATAGTGAATATTGATGCTAATAAATTCCTTTTTTAATGAACTCCCTACTTTTGCTTTTAATAAAAAATTATGATAGTTTTTATTAATAAAAACCTCTGGTAAAATTTATTTAATTGCTAGTAAATAAAAAAATTCATATAGTAAAAGGTTTTTATTAACAGGATGTATATGCTATTTAAGTATTTTTTCGATTACTTAGTGTAACTTTTATGCTTACTAAAAGCATGTTTTTAATAAAAATAAAAGATTGTTATTATTTTATCAAAAGAAAAAAAATGTAAAGTTTTACAATTTTATTAAATTAATTGATTTTTTTTGCCTAGTATTACATGAAAAATTTAATATTTGTTCAATCACAATTAATAAATTTTTTATCCAGGATGTTTGGTGAAAAAAAATTTTATTAAAATATAAATTTTTGGTCAGATCTTCAAATGGAAAAATATTTATTAAAAATATGTAAATTTTTTAGCCAGGTTTTTAGATAGAAAAAAAATTTATTTTTTAAATCAGTCAATTATTTTTTAAAGATCTGTTAAATTTTTTTAAAATAAATTTTTTACTAGGTAGTCTAGTTAGATTTTATTATATATGAGGGTGAGAAACTAAAACTTTTATTTGTGTAATTTTAAATCATTATTATATAATATATTTCTTATTATTTATTATTGTGTAAATTTCTTTTATCTTATTTGTTAATTATAAGAAACATTTAATTATTTATTTTATAAGTACAAATTTTATAATTCTAAATTCTGAATGATAAATAAAAAATTCTTAATTTTTATTATATAATTTAAATAGCATTATATTTTATAGATTTATTATTTATTAGTTTCTTATTATGTATTTTTACTAAAATTCTTAGTGCTAAATTTGATTCTTTATTATTATATCTTTTTATTTAAATATGATAAAACAAGTGAGTTTTATACTATAAAAATATAAATTAAATTTCTAAATTCTTAAATTTTTAGATAAGGTAAGACCTAATATAAAATTATAGAAAAATTTATTTTTTAATTTAATAAAAAACTAATATTAATTTATCTTGTAAATTTGATCTAGAGTTCTTTAAATCTTGAATTGAAAATATGTTTCTATAAAAGAAGGTGAGAGTTCATTAGAATTTTTTTAAAAAATAAAAAAAAAATAACTAATTAATACTTATCTTTTGTAGATTTTAAAGTATTTCAAGCTTTGAAATTGAAGGTTAGTTTCTATAAAAGAAGAGGAAGATATATTAGAATTTTTTAAAAATAAAAAAAAAAAAACTAATTAATACTATCTTTTGTAAGTTCTAGAGTTTTTTAGATCTTATAATTAGAGGAAATTTTCTATAAAATAAGAGGAGAGTTTGAGATTTTTTTTAAAAAAAATAAATAAAATAAATAAACTAATATATATTTATCTTTTATAAGTTCTGAAATTCTTAAGCCTTAGAATATAAAGATAAGTTTCTATAAAGAAAGAGGAGAATGTGAGATTTTTTTTTAAAAATAAAAAGAAAAAAAAACTAATTAATATTTATCTTTTATAGATTTTAGAATTATTTAAGTTTTAAAATTAAAGACAAACTTCTATTGATAAAAAAAAATATGTGAGATTTATTTTTTAAAAAAAATAATAATAATAAATACTTACTTTTTTTTAGAGCTCTTTAAGTCTTAAAATCAAAAATAAATTTTTATGGAGAGAAGGGTATATATATATAATTTTTTTTAAA